TTTTCTAGTTCATGCACATCTGTATTTCTGACCTTCGCCCAAGACAAAGCTACAGTTAGGGGTGGGGCGTTCACCTCTCCAGAGGGCATGTAGGCAGCTCCATGTGGTGCTTCCATACGCACGGCTATCAAACTTTTCAAACAGTTGAGAGACTGAGAGGCGGACCCTACTGTACGGTTTATGAACGGGGCAAAAGAAAGGAGCAGCAAACATAAGGATGGAGGGAAGAGAAGAAAGACAAGTGAAAAAGAAAAAAGGGGGAAAGAAAAGAACAGAGGGAAAGGATAAGAGACCCAGGTAGGGAAGAAGGAAAAAGCTCCTAGTTAAGCTGGATACATCACTATCCAATCCAGCTGTCAGATAACAACCTTCTAAAAAATGACAGCAGTCTAAGAGTGATGTAGATCTAACCTCAGGCTATAGGCCAGCCCATGAGGCTTCGTGACAAGCTTTAGGTATAACACAACCCCTACCTGTCTGTACTACTTGCCTTAGATCAGCCACACAGATAATCTAGACTCCTTTTATTCCCTCAGCTCTTGAGCCCAAACTATCCAGGACCATTTGTCTTCAGGGCAGGGCATCTCTGACAAGGCCCTAATCTAATTAAGTTCCCGTTTTTACTATCAGGTACGTCATCATCTTCCCCTGAAAAATTATTGAAAAGAGGGGAAGAGACTGTGAGCTCGTCGCAATTAACATGCAGCTGCGTCTCTCGTGCAGCAAGGCGGCACCGTTATAATAACTCGGGAGTCAATAATTCATAAACCATAATGCATTATTAATCAATTATCGAGGCCCGAATTACATTTAATGAGATTAAGCTGATTGGAGCACTAAGCTGTTTGAAATGTATTGATTTAATCAATGTGCTTAATTAAACTGTGCACATTTTCCCTCATGATCATTAGTTCACACACAACACACTGCAAAAGTGTCCACATGCTCACTGGTCTTAATTTTGGGAATGGATGGCATTTATATTTAAGGGGACAGGGCCTTCCTTGAAATGTATATATGCATGCATGCCTATGTATGGATCAGGAAACCATTGCAATTTACGAGGTAACGTGCAATGGAAATTCGGTTGAAGTTCTTTGCAACCTCGCATGCTGCTTCTAGTAGGTGGCTGGGACGGAGCTTTCTGCCGATCACTAACAGTATTAACCAACAATTCCCTCCTGTCTCTGGATTCAAAGAGAGACATGCCTCTTTGCTCTGCTTTCTCCCCCCCCCCTTTCTGTTGTCTGTGGGAAGCAGTCAGTCAGTCTGTTGATGTCTGCTATGCAAAGCAGTCATGTTTGTCAGATTGCTGGGGGTTTTTTCCCTGTTTGGTTGTAAGCAATGATACCACTTTATTCTCTTTACTATTGCCTCAAAGTGAGTTATTGAGACTGTAAATGCCAGTTGATGAAAAAAGAGGTGGGCTAATCTGGGGAACTTGGCAGCTATTGGGCTCTATGAATCCCTGCACTTCTGCAGCACAAGGAAAGGAAATTTAACCAAAAATTTAAAAACTCTACCACAAATTTACCACATGGTATTGAACACCAGTTAGCTTATGGAAGTTGTTGACTCCACTTCTGTGAGATCACGGAATCTATTCTCTCTATCAAGCTTCTTTTCCCTAGCATTGACAATCCTTTCCATACAGTAACCATGTGTCATGAGTATTTGGGAGCAGGTAGACCACTTGGGATGTGGTGGCGTTGCGGGTTAAACTGCTGAAGCCTCTGTGCTGCAAGGTCAGAAGACCAAGCAGTCGTAAGATCGAATCCATGTGATGGAGGGAGCTCCCGTCGCTTGTCCCCGCTCCTGCCAACCTAGCAGTTCAAAAGTATGTAAAAATGTGACTAGATCAATAGGTACCACCTTAGTGGGAAGGTCATGGCATTCCATGCCTAAGTCGCGCTGGCCACGTGACCACGGAAACCGTCTTCGGACAAACGCTGGCTGTACGGCTTGGAGACAGGGATGAGCACCGCCCCCTAGAGTCAGACATGACTGGACTAAATGTCAAGGGGAACCTTTACCTAGACCACTTGGAGACTTCCAGTATTAAGTCATGGGATAACTGGGTGGCCAGGGGCACAGTATCTATTGAGGGAAGATGGATGGATGGATACAGACAAACCGAGGAGATACTTTCCTGACATGGCAGCTTTGCTGATTAAATGTGTTTCCATTGAACCATATGGAGCTCCCTTCGCTGTCATTACTTTTCCATGTCTAACCTAACAGCCCTCCAGGCATGTGCAAGAGCAGGCAGGCAGGAGGGCAAGCAAGGGCACCATGAATTAATAAGGTTTGTGGCTTTAAAAATCACCCAAAAAAGATAGGAGGAGGGGGACAAATGGATGCTTTCAAAAGCATTCACAAAAAACAATTATCTTGGCCCGGCAATGGCCTCATACCCCACAGGCTAGCTCAGGTACCCACTTTGGCATCTTGACTTAACTTGGGCATTAAATGCCTGACTCTCTGACAGTTTAATTTCTCCCAGTGGTGCAGTTTCCAAGCTATATATAAAGTGCACTTGGAACGCAATGCATAATAAAAGGTGATACTTGTCGTATCAGAGTTGTCCCAGGTAGAACCCTCCCTTTTGTTAATAATGGATGAACCTTGCTTGGCTTCCCAATGGCGTTGAGGTGGGCAGACCAGGGCTAAGAAGCGAGGGGGGGCAGAATCCACCCCATTAGCTCCCCTCAAAAATTCAGCCTATTTAAGAACAGGGATCATTTGAGAAACAAGGAACACCCCGACGCTCTCCGCGAAGGTGCTTTATTCTGTAACCTTCTCCTCGAGATAGAATGACATTTTAATAAGCAGGTCCATGTAGCTTGAACAGCTGATCCCTATCTCTAGAATGAGAAAAGGAGCCAGGTGTTGGGATGTATAAAACATGCCGGTCGCCGTAGGTTCACGCATAGAAGACAAATACCGGAGCAGCGCCTTCCCCTTCTCTTTTATAGGCTCTCTTACGGACAAGTCATAAGCAATTGTTGTGGAAGCCCATCAAGGAGCTGAGCAACAGGAACTGTGAATCACAGAAAACACCAGCAAAGCAAGAGCGGGAGGCGTCAGATGGTCGGGGCAAAGACCCGTCACCTGGGGTAGGAGACGTAGCCACTCAACGCCCGGTCCTTTGTCGATTTAGGTCATCTGGTCACAAAGAGATGCCTGGACAAAGAGTGTTGAGGTTCTCCAAGAGAACGTCTGGGTCCCAAGAACATCGACTGCTCCACCATTGGCCCTCCCAAGCAATGCTGCTCCAGGGTTGCCATACAGAGGGAGGCCAGGAAAACACCGGCCGGAAGCCAGGCCTTCTCACTTGTGGCACCAGCCCTTTGGAGTCACCTCCTGGTTGAGTTGTGCCTGACCCCCTTCCCAGCCCACATTGACCAAGATACTGCTTTTTTCCAGAGGTCTTTGAAAGCAACCTTACATAAATTTGCCTCTGCCTTGCCTGCCCAAAAATGGGTTAACACAATGGCACCCTTGCGTTCTATTGCTTCAGTTGGCTAAATGGGCTTCATTTTACTTTGTCACTCTTGATTCGTTGTTTTATTGTCTAATTTATTGATTGTTAAACAACCAGAATAGTGCTTAGCACTAATGGGGTCGAGTAAAAATCTAGGAAATATATAAATCAATCAGTTTGCCTCTTTCTTTCCTCTAGGACAGACCTGGGCAAAGTGCGGCTAGAGGGCACCATACGACCCATGAGCCACTCCTGTCTGGCCCGCCGGTCGTCACTCCAGTCCGGTGAAAACAGAACAGCTAGTGTCAGGTCTCCTTCATGCTTCCACAGTTTGATTCCCAAGGCTCCAGATAACATCGTTGGGTAAACCACAACTCTGACCCTCCTGGGCGTTCATCAAGGAATAAAGGCAAACACCAAGCAGCACTGTTTCTTTTCTCTGTCTTCTGAGGGCTTTAAACTAAGGGTGTTGATTTGGCTCCTTCTTGCTCTCGGGTATTGGAGGAGGCCTTATTTTCTCTTTCAAGGAATAAAGGCAAACACCAAGCAGCTTCATATTCTGCCTCTTTTCCTTGAGGGCTTTAAACTAAGGGTGTTGATTTGGCTCCTTCTTGCTCTCGGGTATTGGAGGAGGCCTTATTTTCTCTTCACAGCAAGATTTGTCTGGGAAAATTCTCCTCTACCCTCCCATTAAATCTTGTGGGATCTCTCAGAGGTTTCATGGTCCTCCACCACCTCCTAGAGCACTGGTTCTTAACCTTGGGTTACTCAGGAGTTTTGGACTGCAACTCCCAGAAGCCTTCACCACCAGCTGTCCTGACTGGGGTTTCTGGGAGTTGCAGTTCAAAAGCATCTGAGTAACAAAGGTTAAGAACCACTTAGAGGAACACCAGTCTCTGCAGACTATTACAAGTCTTGTGCAAAATGGCATCGAGAAGATGTTCTAGAATGATACTCTAGAAACACCAATGCCTGCAGACTATTACAACTCTTGTGCAAAATGGCATCAAGAAGATGTTCTAGAATGATACTCTAGAAAGGGAACTAAACTGCACTGACATTGACATTTTGATGCATTAAAAAATGAGCCAAAAATGACATTCAGGGGCCTCACTTTTGTAAGAATTGAGGCAATCTGGAGGATGAGGGAAGTCTCCATGAAAAGTTACTCTATGGCTTTGGAAAAACGCACAGAATGAGAAAGTTTTCGAGAATTCTTCACATTCCTATTTATAATGCGATCAAGGAAAGTCTAGCCTTCCACACGTTTTCAGACCGCTCCTTCGCCACTGGGGTGAACCTAGAGCGTGACAAGACCCACAGCTTCCAACTCTGCCTTAAGGAAGCAAACAGGCGCTGGTGCACTTCAGCTCGTCCCTCCATTCAACCATGATCTTGCACACGATCTTGAGGTGGACATGGTCCCTGAGGCTGAGCTTCCAGGAAGAGCGGGGGGGTCGGGGTTGGGGAAATGACTCAATGAAAGGAACACGGGCTCAAGGCTTTATGAACTTACGGAACTGCTCCAGGTCATCGGCACTTTCAGACTCGGGCATGGCGGTGACGGTGAGCAGAGGACACGGGTTTCCTCCGAGGGTATGGCAAAGGGTTTGCCTCTTAAAGAAGATTTTCTTTTTGTTCCTGGTTTGTTCTAGGATGTCAAGGTGAGACTGTTGAAAAGAAAAAGAAGAAACAAAGAAACACTAAGAAAAAAAAAACCCAAACACATAAGAAACAGATGAAAAGTCCCACCTGATGACTGCAATCTCCCTGCATCCTAAAGAAGGTGAGTGACTTTAATGGTACTTGGAAGTAGGGCTATAAACATTTGTTTGGCACATTTTCATCCGTGGGAACGAGACGGTGTACATTTGTTCTTCTCATCTGCAGAATGGCAAGATATTTTCAGCAGATCCTGATAAGATCGCTTTGCTCCTGAAAGAATGATTTGCACCAAAAAGATGGCCGCTACCGTGCCGTTGGATCGATCATTAAAAATCAGAAGCATCGAATGGGTTGCTCTACATGAACCCGCCAATCTTTCTGTGCCTGTTCCATATGTGTGCAAAGGGAGAAGACCGTTGAATCACTGCACGACAAAGGTCAACATTTGATGGACCCTGGGGTGCGCATTTGACCTGCCTGAAATTCTACCTCTTAGTCCCATCTAGTTTCCATTATTTTTGAAACCAAAACGGGACCATCTATACCCGCAGTGCATATAAGTAGGCAAGAATGCTGCCATACTCTACCAACAGCTATTTTTATTTGTGATTCTGAAATAAGCATGCTTTTTTCCTCCTGTTCCTCAAAGCAAGAATGGCAGTGAATTCTGCACCCTTGTGTGGTCTCCTCGCTCCAGGTCCTTGGCTGTGCAATAAATATGCCTGCAGTTATTAAATGTACATTAGATTATCATCAGTGTTTCCAAGTCACCGTTTCCATATGGGGTTTTATCATCTTTTCAAATGCATCCTGCAGGTAATTTGGGTTGCTAAATCACTTTGAACTCATTACCGGACTGAAGGGAAAGAAGGTGAAAGAGGGGGAAACCTATATATATTCTGCACAGACATATGCTGAAAAATAAAACCTAATGATGTGCATTCGAGAGATGGATTTTTGTTCACCATCCAACCTGTTTAAAAAAAAATGGAATTGTTTTCCCTTGACAAAAAGTTAGAGATGCCAGGAGAAAGTTGAGAGTTATTTTAGCTGACCTGGTCGCACTTATTGAAAATTATGTCCATTGCAATCATGATTTGGCCAGCCACAAAAAAATGAGCTCTTCTCTGTATTTTAATGTACACAGGAGATAAACCTAATTCACTTTAAATGTAGTGTAAAGCAGAACCCTATTTATTACTTTTTTCTGGAACATCCCAGTAATGTCACAAAATAACTCCCTTTATTCTTATTACTGTCCTTACTTTTGGCCACGCTTCCAAATATGTTCATTTACAATGACCAATCTTATTCCCATCCAACTTCCTAGTTAACTTTATTTTCCACTCTTGAACTATATGTGATTGGGTACAGTGAATAAGAGTATCGTTCCATTCATTACATGATCTTGATTGGCTGAGAGCTCACAAAGGAGGAAACATTTGCCGTCACTCTTGGTTGATTTGATCTACCTCCAAGTGACATCATGCATTACAACGCAAAATATAATTGCAAGGGAAGGAAAACAACGAATGATATTAACACAAGGCTCCAATGCAGGCTAGTGGATGGCAATAGCGATAAATCAAGCTCTTGTTGTGTAGAAGCAGAAACTGTAGCCATTGTTGCTAACTTGTCATGCAGGGCTTCCTAAGACACTATATAATATCCAGGATTAAAATAAAAAGCTGTCTCGTAAGGATGGAAAGAATGCTTGCTAAAGTCTATGTTCTCCTATGAGACATCTTGATGGTGAATTTTAAAAATCTGTGAAATTCCCTATTCCAATTGAAAAGGATTTAAAAATAGCACTTTCAGCCACTCCAGGTCTCTGTAAGCTTTCAAAATGTCTCTAGTGTCCTTTCCCTTTGACGAGCAAAGAACACACACATAACAAGCACAAAAGGATTGGTTGAATTTTAAAAATAGATACAAGCACCCCATTCAGTGCTTCAAATGCTAAGACAAAGCAGGGAGCAATTCTCTGCCATTTGCATAGTTTATGCAATTATATGAATTAACAGAATGGGCTACTTTCTGCACCACAAGGAATTATGCTCAAAATTGCTAGACCGCTAGTGAAAAAGCCAGGAAATTCCTCACTATCTTCACCAACAGAGAGAAGAATGTTGCCGTCCTGCTTTGTGTGAGAGGATAAGCAAGAGCTGACATCATGTCTGCCTCAAGGAAATTAATACATGATGACAAATCAACTAGAGTCAGGTTACAGGCCACTTGGCTTATAGCATGAAGCTAGTTGAGCTTCCCAAACTGAGTAGACCCGTTGACTCAATGGAATTTGCATGAGCGTTAACTCACTGTCAGCAACTGATTCAATGATGCTCCTCTACCTGGGATGACCAACTAAGAGTTTTCTTCTGGCTTTTCTCTCTCCGTACACTTCAGTAAACTGAGCAGTGGTGAAAAAAATTGCAATTCTCCTGAAAAACCCTATGTACACCAAAGCAGTCTGCTCCCATCAGGCCTGCCCAGAAAGTCTTGAGGAAAAATGGGTTTACCATCATGGCCGAGTAGGTGTAAGGGTAATGATAAGCCAGGTAGCAGACGTCTTCCTTGTGCGGGAAAACAACGGTGAAGGTGAGGGTGTAGCACCATTTCCCTCTGTCCCCTCCTGTCGATGCAGCCACTGCAGAGTTTTGGTAATGGTTCCTGATGGGAAAGAAAGGAAAGAGAGATGGCCGCCACTCAGTTTTTATCTTCTCATTCAAAACCAGAGAATTGGACCTTTAATGGTTAATCTCTTTGGCCAGTATCCTATGGAGCATCTGCTGAGCAGAAAGTCTCGGAATGCATGAACATCTGGCGCACACCACTTGTATAATTGTTATTGCACATCTGTGATCTGCAGGAGGAACAGCTACCTTCTGCTTGCACAATAGCAGCATCTCAGCAAGGGGGTACAATCCCACGAGACCGTGCTGGTGGGGCCTTGTGTTCTGCAAAAGCTCAAGAGGGTGCTCATCTTAGATTTAAAAGGTTTTGCATAAGAAAGAGAATACCATTTCAGTTTGTTTTCGATAAGAGTTTAGATAAGGGACCATTTAGCTACAGCAAAGGTGAATGTGCCAAGATTATTTTTGCCTTACCCTCTCGAAGGGCTGGGCTGGTGGTAACAATTCAGCCTATGTGTGCCATTTTGTTTATCCCCCACAATGCTCCAGACCAGAGTTGGCAAATGTGACCAGTTTTATTCTGGTTTGGTTTGGTTTGGTTTTAGTCTACACCTCCCATCACACCCAGCCAGGTGTGGTGGGTGAAGGGTATTGGGAGCTTCAGTTTACCTGGAGAATCACAGCATCCCATACCACCCAAGACATTCTAGCTTTTCATGTAGGATCACAGAATTATAGAATTATTGAGCTAGAAGGGGCCAATAAGGTCATCAAGTCTAATACACTTTCATTATTTTCCCATCCCCATTGATTAGCTGAGCCACTGTTTCTTTTCTCTGTCTTCCGCTATACACGTACCTGAAGAATGTTCTTTTTTTTTTTTTAGAAGGGGTGCCTTTGGATCAGGACTGGCTCCATGTCTGAGAAATCACCATCATCATTATGTGCCATTGAGTCAATTCTTATCTATGATTACACTTTTCAGGGTTTTCCAGGGAGAAACTACTCAGAAGTGATTTACTCCTTCTCTAGGCACCTTGTCACTTTGCAACTTGGCCAGGGCACTGTGGGAAATGAAATTCCCAACCTCTAGTTCTGCAGCCAGATACTCTAAACCACTGAGCTGTCCAGCGAGTTGTGTTTGAGAAAGCCTTCGTTCAGCAAAAGCTCTTGGCTTTCCAGACCCAGACAGTCCCGCCAGGTGTGGGTTGGCACAGAAAGTCTAGAGAAGGGTTCATCTCAGTCCTGGAGCCAACCCTGGTACAAAGCAGGGATGCCACCATTTCCACACATTTCAATGACTGAAATGTAGAAGGAATTGTGTAAATTGACCCTGAGATGCCACTTCCCCATACTTCATTCAGCAATGCCATGGTTGTTTTGCTTCTGTTTACACACACACACACAGAGAGAGAGAGAGAGAGAGAGAGAGAGAGAACAAATCTTGAGCTTCAGCTTTCCATCTATGTCTCATCTGGCTCTTTGGCTGTTTTCAAAAGAAAGAAAGAAAGAAAGAAAGAAAGAAAGAAAGAAAGAAAGAAAGAAAGAAAGAAAGAAAGAAAGAAAGAAAGAAAGAAAGAAAGAAAGAAAGAAAGAAGAAAGCCTTCATTCAGCAAGCAAGCAAGCAACTTGGAGGAGGCTAATATAAGATTCCCACTTCGCTAAGATGAACAGCAAATTTGTACATTTCAGAAAAAGCACATCTCAGCAAATTACATTTCAGACAATAATTTTCCCCATCTAGTACCAATGATACCCTTGCTGGACTATCATGTTCTGAAGGGCCATGTGACCCCTCCTCCCCCCCCCCCCCCGCTTTTTGACAACTGCTATCATCAGTGTTGTATTAAAATGCAAAATGCAGCAAGAGAGCAAAAAGCACAATTTCAGCCACTAACATGTACACCATTAGTTTATATCTCCGGTGGTGAGGTTTCATTCACGGGGAGGGCAGCTTCATGATAATTATTCTTGCTGAGTCCTAAGGATTGATTGTTACTTATTTCGAAAGTGATCGGGAGCAATTTATTTTTTAAAGTGAAAGAAATTGTTGGAAATACATAATACACACACACACACACATCTCCGGAACTTCTCTGAAGAAAAGGATTGCAATCCATAAAAGCTCACATCGAAACAAGTTTGCTTATTATAAAGGTATCACAATGTGTTTGCTTCGGGTTTTATTTTCTTTTGAAACTTCTGTTCCTTAATGTGGAAGTTTTAAGCCATGTCCAAGAACAATGAATGTGGGCCTTGAGGCCAAGATGTCATGGAATATTACTTTGTACATTCTCCCACAACAGAATTTTACCCCTACTTCCTCCCAATTTCTGTGGAAAACTCATAGATAATATGTGTCTGACCCATGGCCGTGCAGTGAGCTACGTAGCTGATCGGGAGTTGAAACATACAGCCCTGTTTCATGCTTTAACAATTCAATGACCAGACTCAGTTAAGGATGACATGATAACAATTATGTGTAGATATGAGCACAAACCCCAGTTCAGTGGTTCGTGCCAGTTCATTTATTGGCTGAACAGATGTTTGGCGCTTCAAAGCTCTGCCTCCTCCAGCAGGCGCCCACTCAGGGGAAGCAAACAGAGGAGGCAGGGCAGGGAAGCCAGATTACTGACTCCAAATGGGCACCTGCCAGAGGCAGGGCTCTGAAGCGGTGAACACCTTTTTTGGCCAATAAACGAACCAGCACGAATCACCAAACCAGCAGTTCATGCCCACCTCTAATTATTCTCTTCCTCTGGGGAAATCCTGGAGCTGTGCAGTTTGCCCAAGGCCACACAGGCTGGCTCTTATTGCAGGAGGCGCCGTGGGGGAACTGAATTCCCAACCTCTTGCTCTGCAGCCAAAGACCTCAACCACAGTGCTATCTAGTAAAAATAGTTCTCCATTCCCTGCTCCCACATCGGCAATTGTTTTATTACAAAACAAGATTCCCTGGTTGGGTGCACATTTGTACAGATTATAAACTCTGCAAGAACTCGTTCTCTCCACTGACTAAAACATACTGAAGCAATGTTTTGCATTTCAAATGTGTGTATTTTTCTATGCATAGTTTTCAAGTACATAAACGGGGGGGCGGGGTGGGAACACACTGTCACAGCTGTCTGTCAGTATGAGAAAATGGAAGTGTCTCTCTATCTCATGGACAGCCTAGGAAAGGAGACAGATATTCTAGATCACGGGTTCCCAAACTGAGGTCTCCAGATGTTCTTGGACTAAAACTGCCTAAGTCTTCACCACTGGCTATGCTGGTCAGGATTTTTGGGAGTTGTAGTCCAAGAACATCTGGGGACCCTCATCACACCTTGGATGAAAAAACTGATTCTTCGTGCTTCTGTCCACTAGGTCTCTCATTGTAAAGAGGCTGGTGTATAACACAGCCTGGTTGCCTAATAAGACCTACAGACTTCATTTTTCCTTACTTCCCTTCCTGATTGCCATTGCCTTTGTAAAGACACAGAGAGAGAGAGAGAGAGACCAGTGGTTAGGCATATTAATCTGAATGGCAGCGCTATTAGCATGCAGACTCCATTCACCGTGCTTTTGAGTCATTTTATAATAGTCAAAAACCTAAAGCTAGTGATTTCTCCTTCAAACGCTCCATGCTGCTTCCAGCACAGTTGGCAAGGCCAGTTAATTAATAATCATCATAATTATTATTGTTGCTATCATCATCACTTACTGGGGACATTGTTTTTCATGTTCAAAGTGCTTTCCAAACGTTATTGAATTATTCTTCATCTCTCCTGTCTTCAGCCAAATTAGCTCCGACCAAAAGGCAAAGAGTCATGCTACGGGGGATCCAGGTCTCATAGAAGCAGGCCTCGAGATGAAAAGCTCGCAAAGCAAAATCCACATCCTGATCTTGGGCGAGGGGCGGCTGCAGAAGGGGACATGCCTTGCCGTACATTTCTGACCCGACAGCTGCGCTTTTGTGCCCAGAGCTGGCGAGCTGAAGGCTCTCTGTTGCAGCTCAAGGGAAGCACATTTCTCCCTCGAATTGCACGGGTCTGAACAAGGTGGTTTTATTTATACATGGCTTTTCCCCACCAATAAATAAATATTCAATAACTACTGTGCTGCTGTCTTTCCAGGAAGTGGCCTGAGAAAGGATGAGTCTTCGGCTTACAGAGGACCCTGTTATTACCAGTGCAATAGCCCCCAGGTGGCGATCCAACCAGCCCCCCTTTCCTGACATGGCGGCTCCACGTGGTGATCGGGGAGGGTTCTGGGGCATGTCTGAAGGCTGACGCAGGTTGGGGGAGAGGGGTGTGTGTGTG